GCCTCACCATTATACAAGGCCGAGTTCACCACGCCTCCCGCAACGGCTAAGGCCAGGCCAAACTTGCCAATGGATTCAAACACTTTGGCAGCCATGTCTCCTTCTGCTGGACCCACGCACACCTAAGAGGGTAAAAACAAAAACAAATAAAACAACTTGCTCCCCAAATCCTCAGAGAGTGCTCTCTGCCACACAATATCCACTTCTCCAGCTGGCTGTTTACTCCCCATTCCTGGAAAACTGGCGAATCAACTCCTCTGCTTTTTTCTTTTTCCACCACTTAAGAAGAGGGGTCTGGAGCACTTGGTTAACACACGGGGCTGAGGCATGTGCTCGATACCCACAGGGAACTTAGTACCACACTAAACCACCCTCCCATCTTCTGGACAAACAGACCCCAAGAGAGGCTGTGAGGCTGGTTCTGTGCAATTTTGGTTTAGAAAAATAACTCAAAGTGAGCCAGGCCAGTAAGCCAGGACAAGTGAAATAGGGAAACTGAGGTAGGTAGCTAAACAAACTGACAGAACAATTTGCAAGATACGGAAGGTCACCTCCCTAGAAATAACATCTAGGCCTCAGTTGTATTTCGGCTCCAGACCCGGAAAAGCAGCAAAACCAGGTGGGTGATACCAAGACCAGCTGCACTGATTAAGGACCCCCTGCCCTGACACTGACCAATCAGTGAACGCCACGACCCTGACAGAGCACCTAGAAAACTGGTGAATATTCTGTTAAAACCCTCCCGACACCTCCCCGAAGATACTTGCCTGCAAGAGAGAAATAAAAGCCTCAAGACGAAGGACCCAGCGCATGCTCTCCTTCTGGGGAGCAGCCCCACCATTCCCTTTTTGCTCTTCTTCCCCCACAGGCATGCATCTTCTAAACCAGTGGTTCTCAACCTTCTGGCCCTTTAAATACAGTTCCTCATGTTGTGACCCAACCATAAAATTATTTTCGTTGCTACTTCATAACTGTAATGTTGCTACTGTTATGAATCGTAATGTAAATATCTGATAATGCAGGATGGTCTTAGGCGACCTCTGTGAAAGGGTCGTTCGACCGCCAAAGGGATCGCAGAGCACACCTAGAAAACATGAATGTTCTGCTGAAACTCTCCCCTGAGACATTCCCTAAGATTTCCACCTGCAAGAGAGAAGTAAAAGCCTCAAGACAAAGGACCCCAAATGTGCTCTCCCACTGGGGAGTGTGTCCTCCGCCCCTGCCGTTCCCTTTCTTCTCTTCTTCCCCCACAGACATGCATCTCCTAAATCCTAAAGGTCCAATACTTGCAATGTGGGGAGCAATGGGCAGCATCAGCTCATCTCAGGCTAGTCCCTTGAAGCTGTTCCCAAGGCCCCCTTTTCTCTGACTTCCCAGAGAGCTAGGGCAGCCCAGCCTCGGCTCTCCTGTTGCTTCTTCTCAGCTCAGCCCTTTCTCGTTCTACTGTCCCCAGCTTTACTAAATGTTCCCTCACAGTCACCTGGACTCATGCTGGGAAATTTTTTCTGCACCAAGAACCCACACAGTAGGGGCTGGTCCTGCGCAGACTGGCCCAGGGTCAGGTCCTCTTTCCGGTAACAAACGAGTGTGCTACACAGTGATTCCCACAGCAAAAATAGCGAATCGCTAACCTTTCTATCAGAAGGTCTTCTAACGGCAATTTATCTAACCCTCACACCAACCCCTATGACAGATAGATTACTACAGGTGAGGAAACTGAGGCACACGGTGAGGTTACACGGGGAGCCCAGGATCACACAGCTATTACGTGGCAGAACCAGGATGAGGACCCACAGGTCGAATTCTAGGAGGCACAGCTCAGCTCCTCATCGTACGGCTTCCCAACAGCAGGTATTAAGAATGACCTGGTGTGGGAGCGACAGCTGGATGACATTCTGGAACCACATAACGAAGAGTAAGTGGGCAGGTGGGCTGAGCGGGTGGGCGGGAGCGCGCCCGACCGAATAGAAGCCACTGCAGCACTTAACTTCCCAACGCTCCGCACCATGGTCGCCGTCCGCTTCAGCCTCAAAGCCTCCCTCGTTCCCTCCGGGCCAGAGCCTACCCGATCGCTCCTCGGGCATTTAAACATCCCTTTCCCAATGCCAGGACGCCCAGCCCTGACCACTCAGCCTTTCCACTGCTTACCGCTTCTGGATCATTCCTCACCCTGCCCCCATACACACCTCCCTCACTCTACGCAACTCCTGGCTCGTCCTGGGCTCGCCCCGTACCCGCTTCCCGCGAGGCGGACCCGCGCATACACGCCGCTCTCCCCAGGTGCTAATGGGAGTGCAGGGAGGGACTGCAGAGTTGCCCAAAGCGGACCACAGCCGTACCCCTCCATTCTCACCTGCTTCTACTCTGACCTCCACAAGCCTTCCCCAGCCACACGTACTGCGCACGCGCCAGGCGGCTCCTCCTCTTCCCCGCCCTCTTTCCAAGATCCGCGCCTCCGATTGGTCGGGAATAGCGCTGTGCATTCTGGGAAGGGTGGCTTTCCGCCTCGTCCTGGTTTCAGGGCTCTTAGCAGATGAACTACAATTCCCAAAAAGCCATGCAACGGCTGACCCGCGCTGAAAAGCCTTTCTCTTTCGTGTTTAACGCCGTGAGGCTGCCGCAAAGCCTTTTGGGGGCTGTAGTTTCTTGGGGGATAAATGCACGTGCCTATTGATGCTAGAACCTCCTGGAAGATGGGCCTTGTAAAAAGTAGTTAGGTCTGCAGCTAATGGCAGGGATGGACTGGGAAAATAGAGAGCTGATGGAAGCATGGGTGGGCACCTTGGAGAAACTTGTGGTGAAATAACTGTTGGGGTGAGAGACCCTGAAGGAAAACAAGAGGTGATCTTCATTCCACAGCCCTGCCTGGAAACGTCCTGAGAGTCCTGGAACATTGATTACCAGAACCATAAAGAACCTTAGGCCCTGACGGGTGTGGCTCAGTTGGTTGAGCGTTATCTGATGCACGAAAAGGTCCCCAGCTGGATTCCTAGTCAGGGCACATACCCAGGCTGCAGGTTCCATCCCTGGTCAGGGCTCCTACAGGAGGCAACTGATAGATGTTTCTCTCTCTCTCTCTCTCTCTCTCTCTCTCCTGCTCCCCCTTCCTCTCTCTCTGAAGTCAATAAAAACATATTTAAAAGGCGCCCAGGAAGCATCTGGACTAGAAAAGGAGGTCCAGAGAGAGGAAGGGATATATTCAAGGTCAACCATGCATTTAGAAAAGGGGCTTGGCTTAGAGTCCAGATTTTCTCATGGACAGAATGTTTTTAAAACTCATTTGGAAAAGTTACAAGAAGAGTACAAAAAACTCATGTATCCTTCACTCAAAATCATCAACTGCTAAAAATCTGCTCCATTTGCTTTATCATCTGCTCCTTCCCTCTCTACTTCCCTCCCTCCTCATCCTCTCTGTCTCTCTCTCATCTACCTTCTGCATTCTATTTTTGTCCATTGACCCAATAATGAACATTATAGTAACCCTCCCACACACACAGGATACAATCTAAGATTAGGTACTGCATTCATTTCTCATGTCTCTTTAGTCTCCTTTAATGCAAAAAATTTCCTCAGTCTTCCTGTCTTTTATTACATTAAAAAGAAGAAGAAGAAGGATCTTGTTCATTTGGGGTTTGTCTGATGGTTCCTCATGATTAGATTCAGGTTTGGCATTCTTAGCTGGGATACTAACTAAGTCGTGTATGGATATTAAATTTTTATGAAACCTGGTTCATTTCTGGATTCTAGTAGGATTGGATTCTTTCAGCTTATTTTTCCTGTATTTCTCTCCTCTTCTCTTTGTCCCCATTTGGCACAATCAAATAATCAGAGATCTTTTTCCTGTATTTCTCTTCTCTTTGTCCCCTTCTTTGTCCCCATTTGGCACAATCAAATAATCAGAGATATCAAAGGCAGCATTCTTCAGGTGATATGGGTTTGCCCTAACCAACCACATTTTTCCCTCTCACTACTAGAATGCAAACTATGAGAGCTGAAAGTTTATTCTATTCTCAGAACATAGAATACTGCTCGACACACAGTGTCAAGTTTTGGGGTTTTGGTTAATTTAGGGCCTCAACAAGGCCATCAATGATGCAGAGTCTTTCCATCTTTAAGTCTGCCATCTTCAGGTATTGACTTTTGTCCTCATAATTGTCCCCTAAAGGTCACAAGATGACTGCAGAAGGTCCAGGCTTAATGTTCTCACACCACATTAACCAAAGGCCAGAAGGCAGGAAAAGGGCACGTTACACTTTGGGTCCCCTTATAAGAGCTATGTAAAGTTTCCCAGAAACACCCACCAGACATCCCCTTATGTGTTGTTGAGCAGGGTTTTATCATCTGCCCACTTCTGACCATTGGCAAAAGAATGACATTGCCTTGTTGGGACTTAACAAATCAAGAGTCAACCTTTGGGATTGGGGAGGGCTTGGCTTCTCCTAAACCACATGACTGCCCAAACCATAACAAATCAAAATGGTGTTTTGTTAGCAAGGAACAGGATGGAAAGAAGGGATGTTGGAATTGCAACCAACGATGTCTGCCACCAGGGCTCTATTTGGGACCAGCTGGTCAATGAGGCCTCTATGAGGAGATGATGTTTAAGGTAAGATCTAAAGAAGTGAGACATGGAAAAGTTTGGGTGGGGTGGGAGGAGAGCATTCAAGGGGGAACAGCACATGCATTTCTTTTTTTTTTTTTTTTTTTAAGTAATATTTTATTTTAAAAAAAACACCACACACACACACACACACACACACACACACACACACACACACAGCTCACGAGGCAGAGCCAGGAAAGGAGACTGAGATCTCGTCTTTGGGGCCAGGCTGACCACAGAGTGCTTCTCTTCCACAGCCGGCCTCACGTGAAGAAAGAGAGCAGATGCCCAAGCTGATAAATTAGGCGAAAGCTTGGTTTTTACGGGGAGACTTAAGGCAGCACCACTCCCGCGACGAGTGGGATTTGTGCAGGAGCATCCAGAAACCTCTCCGTTGTGTTAGGTGTGGGCACCAGTCCCGGAGGCCGTTTGAAAAGCAGGAGGCAGAGACCAGATTTCCCTGGAGCTGCTTTTCTTTCCCGGACGAGGAGAATGTTCTCCGAGGAGAATAGGCCGGAGAGAGAGGTCCGGAGCAGCTCGGGAGCCCAGGAGGGAGGAGAAGGCCCGCCGTGCCCGCCAGCCGGGCAGGGCAGGGCTTTGGCAACAGAACACAGGTTCGGAAGTCTCTCTTGAGGTCACTGGTCCGCGGGTCCTCCTGCCTGCGGGGCCACACGTCCGGCAGGGCCTCCTGCGGGCCTGGAGGCCGCGGTGTCCTCAGACGGCTGCATCTGTGGACTGGGTCACACAAGAGATCTTGTAGGACAGCCACACGCTCGCCAGGCAGAGGAAGGTGGCCACGAAGCAAAAGATCGACAGGGACCAGCTGATGCAGGTGAGCACACAGTAGAGGTGGACCAGGTAGAAGGCGAGGATCATGATCAAGTTGCAGATGGTGACCACTTCGAAGTATCTGTAGGCGCTCTGGCTGATCCATGGAGAGCTCCTCACGCAGATGAAGGCGATCAGCAGGCTGACCATCTGCACCACTTTCAGCAGGGCCCCGTGGGTGCGGGGGTAGACCGGGTCCACCAGCCCCTCCGAGGCCCTGG